GATAGATAGATATAGATATAGATATAGATATAGATATAGATTAGATATAGATATAGATATAGATATAGATATAGATATAGATATAGATATAGATATAGATATAGATATAGATATAGATATAGATATAGATAGATAGGTAGATAGGTAGATAGGTAGGTAGGTAGATAGATAGATAGATAGATAGATAGATAGATAGATAGATAGATAGATAGATAGATAGATAGATATAGATATAGATATATAAAATGAAGGGCATAAAGTAACCAGAATTCAGATGGATTAAGCACGGCTTTCTTGGAATGGTGGGGACTTTTTTTAGGAACAGTGTGGATGCTGGAGATTTTAAGTCTCATCCGTAACAACGGAGACCCTGCCTGGTGCCAAACCACGCCCAATTGGGATCGAGGTCCCTGGTTCGAGACAGTGATAGGATATAGGACAGCTCTGACCAACAAGTCACCACGCATTATTAGCTCCCACCTGCCTGCCCATCTTTTTGCCAAGTCTTTCTTCAAATCCAAAGCTAAGGTAAGAGGGAAATTATGTTCGTGGCAGGTTTCCATCTTACTGTAACTCTGATCATTGCTCTATTAGTAAGCTCGGGTGACTGAGCACAGTCAGGATTGAGGCCCAGTGTAGTGTATTCTATCATTGGGTTTTTTTGTTTTTTGTTTAAAAAACTTTGGTTTGTAGAATGAACCAGAAACAAGCCACAATCAATTTTACAGTTGAGCAGATGTTAGTGGTTTGGCTGATATCCCTGTAAATTGAACAGAGTCTTGGGTGGGATGCAAACCAAATCAGGAACAGGCCATGAAAACAGCAATGAATACTGCCTCTATGGCAAATGGTAGTTTTAAATATTGATCTCATGAACTAAAGCAAACCAGAGTTTAAATGAGGCCTCTGAGTTCAGCAAACTCGGGGAAAACCTTCTCATTGGCCTCATGTTCCATTCCTAGTTCCTAAAGTTCCCTTTAGATGTGAAACAATTACAGGCAGTCCCCGACTTACAACCATTAATGAGCATTCAAAGTTACAACAGCACTGAAAAAAAATGCCTTATGACCGATTCTCACACTTATGACCATTGCAGCATCCCATGGTCATATGACTAAAATCTGGGTGCTTTTAGTAACCAGCATGTATTTATGATGGTTGCAGCGCCCTGTGGGTCATGTGAACTCCATCTGGGGCCTTCCCAGCCAACTTCTGATGAGCAAAATCAATGGGGAAAGCCAGATTTACTTAACGACTGTGTGATTCACTGAACAACTGCAGTGTTTCATTTAACAACTGTGGCAAAAATGGGGTGCAACTCAATTAACAACTGCCTTGCTTAGCAATGAAAAATTTGGGCCCAACTGTGGTTGTAAGTCAAGGACTGCCTGTATTATAATTATTATTTTGCCCTGCCTACATTTATCGCTCACTAGCAGAACAGGGAAAGGAATGGAATCTATTTTGAGGAGGACATGTTTGTTCACATGAGCTCTGCTATTTTCTGAGGTTGCGTCTAATTTTTTGACATCTTCCAACCATCCCACATTTTTCTGTGCATAGATAATCTACACGGTCAGGAACCCCAAAGATGTCTTGGTGTCCCTCTATCATTTTGCTTCAATGTTTCATCCCTATAAAGACCCTGGTACCTTGGATCAATTTCTTGAGGGCTTCCTAAAAGGAGATGGTAAGTGAATGGGTGTAGAATAAATTTTGGACTTCTTCCCTCCCCGTATATGTCTACTTTTCTCCCAATCTTCCCATCTAATTCCTCTTGTAATTACAGTGCCTTTTGGATCCTGGTTTGACCATGTTAAAGGTTGGATGAACTTGAAGGACAAAGAGAACTTCTTCTTCATTACATATGAGGAGTTGCAAGAGGTTGTTATTATGTTATTTGGCTTGTCAGTTCAACTGGGTTTTATGAACAGAGATACAAAAACTAGGGGTAGCCGATTCCTGGATTTGACTGGGATGGTCAGATTCTGAAGGTAGTTAAAAAGTGTGGGAATTCTCACACTATTCTTTTGGTGATAATCAGCAGAGATGACTGTCCTGCTTTCACAGATCTTTGGCTAATTCGATGCTTTATGCTCTCCAAAATGTCTGTGGAGGAGACCTTCCACCTGTCTGTGCCATGAAGACGTAGCTTATTCTCTGCTAGAACACCGACTGAGTTTATGAGGGAATTATTATTTATCTACTCACTATCAAGTGACTTTGGGCAGCTTACAATGTTCATAAATAACAGTATATTATTTGCTATGTTTCAAGAAAAATATATTTATGAGTCAAGTTTTCTTGTTTGCTCAGTAATCACAGTGCCTTTGAATGCCTATGTTCTCACAGCACTCAAAGCCATGATTAATTCAACTACAGTGTAATCAGTTAATCCCATTTTATTTATTTCCATGAAAGATTCAACCAAAAACTGATCACACCACCTAGGTTTGGTAGTTTTTTGGGGTTAGATGAAAACATATGATTAATTTTGTCATACAGGTATGTGTACTGTGTATGGAGTTCTTGGTGTTCTCTGAACTTGGTTGTTTCCTTGGAAACATTTCACTACCTAACTAGGAAATATCTTCAGTACAAGTTGTGCATGGGGTTTTTGCTGCTAATAACAATGATTATGTTACCTAGTTAGGCAATAAAACAGCGAACAAACAACCAAGCTCAGAGAGAACCACGAACTCCACAGTTCAACCCCATATTATAGATACTGTCTTCAATTAAACTGTGTATGTTTACGAAATGCATATGTTATAGAAATGCCAAGCTTAATACATGTATAACTCAATTGTCCATTTAACATAATACTCTGCCAGTTAGGAAGGGAATGAAGAAGATTGAATCTGTGCTATCAAAATGCCTGACTGTATACAACAGTAGTCAATAGTGGCCATAATAGTAAGTACTTTATGATCCAGGTTGTAGTGAAAAAGAGATGATTATGACTGGCTAGGTCTTCCAGGGTAGAAAGGGGGATTAACACATTTATTGTGTCAAGATAGTGTTTCCAGAGTTTCTCAGACTCAGGCAACACCATTCAAACCAATTTTGAGGGGGAGGGAAAAGAATGGCTGACTTTGTACTAAATCCTCCATTTGTCTGGTTCTGGTTTGGCTTGTTGTGTTGACATAATCCATTGGGGGCAGATTAAAAGACATCCAGTTAAACATTGCTCAGCGCTATGTATAAATCTAGTTAATGACTTTGGATGCTTTACTGAAAAAGCATTCTGAAAACAATATTGTGGTAAAGTCTGGGGGCACAATTGTTTTGGTCCCCTCCCTGGACTAGAGTTTCTCCATCAGTGTAAGGGCATTGATGGTTTTGGAATAAACATGCTAGTTAAAATTGAGTTTGAAACACTTTCAATGATGCCAGGTGTGTGCCACCCAGGGTAGTTTTCAGGTTGTCTTGTTTGGTTGTTCTCCAGGATCTGCGAGGGAGTGTTGTTCGTATCAGCCAGTTCTTAGGCAAAGTCTTAGATGATGCAGCCATTGACTCTGTGGTTGCGAATGCCTCCTTTGAATCCATGAAGAGTAATAAGATGTCCAACTTCTCACTCACTCCGAAGTTCATCATGAACCAAAAGAAAAGTGCTTTCCTTCGCAAAGGTAATGAAGGGATGGAAAGGGGAATCATCTGCCATCTGGATTTGCCTTAACCAGGGTGATCTTTTAGGGCAGCAGTTCCCAACCTTGGCCATTTTCAGGGGTATGGACTTCAATGTCAAGAATTCTTATCATTGGCCATGCTGGCAGTGGGATTCTGGGAGCTGGAGTCCCAAACCCAGAGATGGTCAAGGTTGGGGTATATTATTTCACAGGGATGCCACTAAAACTCAACCTCGTTGCTTTCCTTGCCAGATACAGAGATTTTGAGCTATAAGATCTGGCAGAATCCTCTTCTGTCCTTCCAGTTCTTTCAGCTCCTTTCCAAGATACTTATCACACTCTCTTTAGCATTTCTTTGGAAGCATTTATGCCACCTTGTTCATATCCGGTGTTGTAATCAAATGATTTTCAAGATTCGCTTCCTTCAGCCTGATTCACTTGCTTTGGGCTCTTAGGATTCAAAGCACCTGGGGGTTGAGTTTGGCTTGTCTGCAAGGGACCAGGTTGGTGAAAAAAACACTTTAAAATATAGTGAATTAATTATAATGGGACATACACATATTAACATCACACAATCAAGCGTTCTGCCATTCTCTGGCCAAGAAATCAGCCTGGGGCATATTATCTTCAGTAGCTAGTAGCTATAGTCACAGCTTTTCAGCTGATGTTGATCAACAATTTGGCTCAAGTTGATCTACCTAGGGGTACAATGTTGTTCTTGGAAAGCAGGGATTCAACTCTTCAAGGTATCTCAGTTCCTGTCAGTAGGAGTGGAAGGGTGGAGACACTGATCCCTAGTTTTATAGTCCAAAGTTTGTTGTACTATGGGATGCCCTGCTTAACTAAAATAGTTAAGAAAATTGACACACATACCTTTGCCTTTATTTTATATTTATATTGATATCTGCATTGATAAAAACAGCAACAAAGTAATCTTGATGACATCATTCTTAAGACTTCTATACCAAGGGCCAGGTGATAGCCCTCTGTAGAAACTAGGATTTCTGAATGCATTTCCTCCATGTGGAAGAAAAAAACAATAATTTAAAAATCCAAACATTAAAATTAAAATGTCAAGAACAGTCCTACTTGCTCAATATTTCTTAAGAGTTACAAGAAGAGGTCTGCATTTATCCCTAAGGGGAACCACCCTGATTTTAAGATAACCTTCCCCAAAACTAAGATTAGACAGAAAAATATTGTCTATCTCTATTTTTGTATTCTTGGTCAATTTAAGATGACACTCTTATATTTCAGGGCAAATTATTTGGGGAAAGCCACCTATTTCTTTTGAGTAAATACCATAGAATACTTCCCCACCATGTCTGACTCTAATGAGTTATTATTTTATGTTTTGGTTTCTAGGGATTTCTGGAGATTGGAAGAATCACCTGACTAAGGCACAGAGTGAATGTTTTGACCAAGTCTACAATGAGCGTCTACAAGATTTAAGTTTCACTTTTCCATGGGACAAGAAATAAATTTGCCTTTTTCCAGGTGATTCCCTCCATTACTGGACTAAATAGTGACTTATCAGGATACTCACTGTCTAGTGCAAGATGTTGTAGATTAGTAGGAACATCTATGGGAGGTACAGGAGTTATTCAGAGGGTTCTCCTGAATTTCATGGGAGTAGGGGAAGATAATTATTAAGGCCAGAAAGTTAGAGATTAGGAATATGTAGGATGGGGTGGATTAAGATTTCAGAGGTAACCAAACTATAGTGCTGATATCTTACATCTCAAGATATGGTTTGAACATACATGATGCTGAACATCTTGCTGAAATCAAGCACATTTGAATCTGGTTAGCTCCTGGAGGGAAGACTGACCTACTGTCTATGAACTCCCTTGTCCTTGATGGAAATTGCATTGTAAATATAATATAATAAATAAAGTCAGGCAACCAATGCTTCTTTCTTTTAAAGAAGCATATATGATCATATGAGCTCCTCAATTCATAACTGGTTTCTGATTCCTGTTTTCCTGGGGAGATAAAACTGACTCCATTGTCTGAAGCTGTAGCCACCTGGGGTAGAACTTCAGGGAACAAGCAGAACATTTCCTGTTGCCATGACAGTTCTACTCCTTTGTCATGGTAATAGTCCACCACAGACTCTGCCCCAACAGGAGACCAAGGACAGACCAGGTATTTACACTAAAAAAGGAGCAGCACCACTTCCATTCAGTCAAGGGTAACACTTGGCTAGTATTAGATCGGTATGCTGGAGTTACACTCCAGAAAAGGGGGTAAAGTCAGATAATTAGCGAACTAATGGGGGGGAAGAATTTTGAATGAATTTAAGTTACAGTATATTAGAAACTAATGTCAAGCAGTTAACTCCTTAGTACTTACATATTTGAGAATGTGGATTTTAACTGAATAAACTTTACAGTTCAGAGGTAAATTTGAAAGGATGAGGGGACATACTCATGATTTGGGGGGTATCTGTCATCCTGGGGTTGATAATGTTACATTTCTTGGAGGTAGACAGGCAATGCTGAGAAAGATTCCTCGGGGTGTCATAGGAGGTTGCAGTAAAGAGTAAGAAGCAGGAAAACTGAATTGTCTTGGTACTGGAGCTTACAGAAGTAGATGCCATTATATCACAACAGGCCAGCTTTTGATGCCTTCCTCTTTTCTCCTGCCACTTGAGCATCCTTCTAAGATGCAATTGTGGCTGAGAGTTTCTGCATCTTAGACAACAGCACCTAATCTCCCCACTTTCAGAGTCCAGAGCTCTCATTAGGAACAAGTTTCACAAGAGGGCAGTAGAATCCATCTTTATGGATTTTCCCACTGGTTAAATCTTAGGCTGATTCATACTTAATTCTTTTTTCCTCAGGTAATTCTGTCTTATGGGGTAACAGCTTTACACATAATTATTTCTGATGGCCCAGTTTCTCAGTTCTTGCTTTTTGCACCAGGAAATGACTAGCCCCATGGGAGCAGTAGTTAATAAGGTCACTTTAACCATTTATTTCGGTTCTGCAGAATGTAAATCTTAAAATCCACCAGGTGCTTCCTTTTTTAATGTTGGAAAAGCAACTGCTGCCAGATCTTCATGAGGCAATTAAATTGCTGTGAATCCCAATGTGCTGGAAGGCTAGAGCAGATACACTACGAATGTGCAGAACGAATAGTAATAAGGAATAATCAAAACACAATTTCTAATCTCAGCCTTGCATTCGAGACCAGTTTACTCAACAGAGCAGTGGTGGGATTCAAATTTTTTTACTACCGGTTCTGTGGCCGTGGCAAGAGAAGGATACTGTAAAACAGGGGTGTCCAACCTTGGCAACTTTAAGACTTGTGGACTTCAACTCCCAGAATGGCTGAAGGTCACTTTGAATCCAAACCCTCTTTCTTCTAACGGACCCTTTCCTTATTTATTCTGAGCGGTTTGACTAGAAGA